TAACAGATAGCAAGATTATATTGTGTTTCCTGTTCTCCAGACCCTGCTGCTTTAATATACATTCTTAGTTCATCTTTAATTGTTCCTTGCCCGTTTTCATAATAGATGGCAAGCTTATATATATTATACTTCGGAGGTTGCAATATTAAGGAGGATTGTTAATCTTCAATATCTAAAGTAGGCGTGATGAAAAATATAATATCATATCATATATGAATCGCATTATTGTTTGGGTAGAGTTCATTGTAGTAAAAATAAGAGTTTTGCTGAATATTTGATGTTCGAGAGCCAATAAATACATCGATAACGTGACGGTTTCGGAACAATAGTGCATATCTTAGTGTTTGAAGTACTCAGCGATGCGTTGGCGAGCGATGGTTTTTGATGAACGTTCATTTCTTCTCCTATTTATTTCTGCTATTCTTTCGCTGCGCCGGATAGGCCCTCTTCGCGCTGCCCGTGAACGGAGAGGCGTAGCGCGTTGTGGTCGTGGTGGCGAGAATTGAGGTTGCACCTGAGTTGGTAGTTGTGGTGGTGAGAATTGAGGCTGTACCTGAGTTGGTAGTTGTGGTGGGAGTTGTCGTGTTGATGCTAGTTGTTGTTGTTGTTGTTGCTGTTGATATTGGGTTGATAAAAAAAAATGCGGCGGTGAAGACGCGACTATTTGACGTGCTTCTCTGTATGAAGTTCCAAAAGTCATTGAAAATTCGGCCCACGAAGGATCATAAAAAGCCTCTTCGCGTCTGAGAGATGGATAATTGTTGTTGTTGTTGCTGCTGTTGCTGTTGCTGTTGCTGTTGCGGTTGCTGTTGCGGTTGCTGTTGCGGTTGCGGTTGCTGTTGCTGTTGCTGTTGTTGTTATTGGTGCTGTTGTTGTTATTGGTATTATTAAACGCCATTGCTGGAAGGTTGCTTATAGTGCTTATAGTGAAAAATAAAAAAATTTGAATTTTTTGTTAAAATTCCGACCCCCCTTTTTATGTATAATCATCCCTCCATATAATCACCTCAAATATAATCACATCTTACTAAGCATACCTCCATATAATCACTGTTTTCTAGTTCCCTAGCAAAGGCCCCTTAAAATCATACACCAATCAAATCGCAAGCTCAATGTTTTGAAAAATAGCTTGTGTTTCTTATTATATACCCCTAACCAGTGTTGTCACTGGAACATTCCAGTGAGAGTCAAAATTTATACAATGTAATATAAGATAATTAGTTATAACTGGAATCCAGTGGCGTTCCAGTCAATATTAATTTTACTTCTAGTGACTTTCCAGTGGCTTCCAGTAACAGCACTGTCCTAATCAAAACTATATTTGAACATATCAGTGGATTTGTATTTACAATGTAAACCAATCTCCCTTTTCATTGGCTAATAATACATATCAATTAATTGATCACCAAGATTAGTTTTCATGGTAAATTCACTACAAAAATCCACCGAATGTATTAAGAGGATGTCGAATGGTTTCTGTATCAGGATAACATGACCAGACACTTTCTCGCCATGGCTAGGGTTCTATTTTTGGCATGCCTTATTTTTCACTCTGAAATAGATATACCAGGGAGCTTACAGCGTGCATCTATGTACCCCCCCCACCCGATTTGGTTATGATAAAAAACAGCCAATAAGAATGCATAAATTTTTGATCAACCCGGCAAAACAAACC